TGCCTCCGATCGAAGGGCCCGTATTGACCAGGTGCGAGCGGAGGTTGGAGACGCTCGCGCGTTTGGGGAGATAGCTCGTCCTCGTATTCATCGGAGTCAGAACTGTAGGGGGAATCAACGGTGTGATGATATGGAGTACCTGTCCTCCCGCGCATGGAAGAGGGCAAGGGAGGGATGACGGGTGCTTCAGGGTTCTGCGCTTGCCCAGGTATCACAGGTTCGTGCATTCCCATGCGGCCGCCCATGGCGGGGCTTTGTGCACCCATGGACATGTTCAACGGCGGGGCGGGGAATGGATTGCCTATCGTAGGGATAGCACCTGTCATCGGTCCAGGAGGGATGACCGGATTCATCCCAGGTTGTATCTGAGGCTGAGGGAACAGAGGAGGCTGGCCAGGCATATACTGAGGCTCTGTCGAGGGCAAACCAGCAATGTCTCGGTCAAACGATTGCATCTCAGCAAGGATGACACGCACGCCCGTAGAATGCTTGCTGTGGCATGCCGGGGTATGGAGACGCGTAGGCTTGACGCTGTGGATACTCTCCCCTTACGGGATCCTCGCTATAGAAGTCCTCCGCCCCTCCATATCCTCTCCTGCGCCCGCCAGTAGACCATGCTCCTTTGGAGAACGATCGGTCTTGTACTTGTGGATGCCGGGGTCTTGACTGCGTACCTCCAGCCGAGCGGCTGGGGTTGTTGCCCATCAGGCTCTAGCGGGGAAGTGCGAAATGAGAGATCGTGGGTATCACAGATGGAGAGAACAGGCAAGAGGGTATCTCAAGAGCAGCAAGCACGAGGGAGATGCATGGAGGACCGTCGCGGGTCCAGAGGACGCTGCCAGAGAATGCCACCCGCGTTCCCCGGATAGCAAATCTGAACCTCGAGGCTGCCACGTGGCCACAAGTCACGAGAGCGCGACGCGACGCGACTCATGAAGCGCGTCCTGCTCAGCTTTCGACAGCTTGGAGTCGACCGATTCTCCGGCTTTCGCAACTGTTCCTGCTGGAACCGCCGACCCAGTGTGTCATACGGCACGTATTGTAGGCATTGCAATGCATAACGGACACTCACATCTATCCATTCCACGCATGCCGCCCTGTTCATGATCTCGGACTCGACGAAGGAGTCACCCTGACGACTTCACCACGTTACGGTCTGTCCGAAGGAGCCGTGCTGGGCATTGTAACATCTGTTGCGAATCCAGGTGAGAAGGTAATGGAGGTAAAAGGAGAAGTGCTGTCTTGCAAGCCCCTGTGTGTGTGTATCTGAAATCTTCATTGCGTCATTGGCAGGGTCTGTGCGCCCCGACGTGATCACAGCGATCACCTCCGCTCGACGTTGGACTCTCGATAAGGCAACGAACTTGCCTAATCGGCATGATGATCGGCGAGTGCACGTCCGCAAAGGAACAATCCTCGACCGAGTGCTTCTGTACCTCCATGGCTCGAACGACATCAGTCTCTGACCACAGATACTGAACCTAGCGCGCCTGTTTTGAAGGTTTGATGCACTATCATGCGGGAGCTGACTGGGACCCGGGAGGGACGTGCGCGCTGGAGTACTGAAGTTCGAACGCCTTCACTTCATAGGGCGTACGGCTTCACTGCTAGACGTTGTCAGGAGACAGAACCCTTTCTCGGCGAAGGACTGCACACATGCTGGGCAGTATGGCGTGGTGTCCATGCAAGCGTTTTCTGTGGTCCTCGGAAGCATCCACAGGCGTCCACAGTACAGTCCGGAGGAGTTGAGACCCGGATAGTAGGAGGGACACGGCTGGTGTACTCTGGGGACGCACGGGACGCTCTGCAGAGATGTGGTACGACTTGGAAATCATGGGATCCGTGTACTAGTAGTACAGACCAGCCAAGTTGTCATGCGATACCTAGGATATGACTAGTGAAGAGATGCGGAATGCCCGCAGCGTTGGCTGCGCGGCTCTAGTCCAAACGGTCCGCCGAATAGTTGTGGATAGCAAGAAATGTACCATGACGCTGTGGAACTAAAAGGCTGCCCGCCTAAGATCAAAGCTGAAGAGCTCGAAGTTCCACATCACGAGAGGTTGTATGTGTCCACGGTATACTGCCTATCTCTTACTCGAAGAAGGAGCAGCGCTAGCTGGCCTTCGGACGATCGCAAGCAAGGGGCAGAGGCGTGCCTCTATCCTGCAAATACTGAGGGGATTATCGTGCCATACCTGTACATGGTGCGCTGCAGGACATCGGTGTACCTGCCAGTGCACGGCTGCGGAGCAGGCCTGAGTGGCAGAGGAGCCTGAGCGTACGCACGCGGAGAGGAGGACGCGCCTCGGGACCGGTGCAGGGAACGATCCCGGAAAGGCAGGAAGAGAAACAAGCGAGGTGCTATATTTATCGAGCGCACGTTGAACGAGATGATCGCCACCGCGATCTCCCACTCCCACTCCCTTCCAAACTGCGCATGCTACTCGTCCACGTCCGCCGATGCATCATCACAGCACGCAGCCAGAGAACTGCTGGACTTGTCCATCTCACTGTCCGGAGCACGTCCTTAGAGCAGTGTCATGGACGCTGTCCTGCGAGGGGTGCAGGTCTGAAGGGTGCTGGAATGGGTGGGTTCTGGGAAAGTTCTGTTCGGAAAGGGGAAGCAGTGTGTGCGGAGAAGACGAAGGGCTTGTGTCACTGTATGATAAGGACGCGTCGGCCTGCTCGTCCCCCGGTGGCGTCTCCCTCTCGACCGCTCTCCACAGCGTCCTCCTCCCCTGCCCGTCCGTCAAACTACCGTCCCACTCGTCACCTTCCCTTTCTACAGCTCAAACCTTCTGCTACGTCGTCATATCACATACGTCACAGCAGCCGCCAGAATCCCATATATACCGTGCACCATGGGCTGCTTTCCGTCCAAATCCGCCTCCAAGTCCACCCCCGCCTCGCACAACATGAAGCTTCACCAGCTCGTTCGTCCCGACGCCTACAAGGGCGGGAAACGCCCCTCCTTCGCGGCCGCCTACGCCCGTGCTGCTCGCCGCTATGGCTTCGAGGCCGGCCGCAACGCCGGTTTCGCGAAGCGCAACAACGTCGTCGTCAAAGTCAAGAGCAAGGACAACAAGGAGACCGAACACGAGGTCCCCGCAGAGTCCATCCAGAACGGTAGGTCCTCTCTGTCGCACTCGCTCACGCCCGCAGCAGCGCTCATCGTCATCGCGTGTGCCCGAAAACTTATCCTTATTAGAGTAAGTGCCTTGTCCCTCCAGAAGTTTCAAGTCTGGCAGAAGACGATGACGTCGCAGGAACACATGCTCACCTCGTTTCCAGCCTCGAATATGTTGTGCCGGTCAAGATTGGGACCCCTGGCGTCACTCTCAACCTCGACTTCGACACCGGCTCCTCTGACTTCTGGGTCTGGAGGTTCGTATCCATCCGCACATCGCGTCATTACAGATTAACCATGGCGTGTTCTCCGCAGTTCCGAAATCGCGCACGCCTCCCGCTACAAGGGTCACAACATCTACGATCCCTCCAAGTCTTCTACCGCTAAGAAGGCTTCTGGCACCTGGAATATCAGCTATGGCGACGGCTCCTCAGCTTCCGGAAACGTCTACACTGACAACGTGACCGTCGCGGATATCACCATTCAAGGCCAGGCCATCGAGCTCGCTGAGAAGCTCAGCTCGAGCTTCCTCCAGGACAACGGCAATGATGGTCTGCTTGGTCTCGCCTGGCCGGAGATCAATACGGTTCAGCCCAAGCCTGTCGCTACCCCCGTCCAGAACATGATCAGCAAGAAGCTGATTGATCCGGTAATTTGGGGTTATATATGCGTTTGGGAGAAACCTTCTAACGGTTTTCCTCGTCCAGCCCGTCTTCACGGTGAAACTCGGTCGGGGTGATGAGGCTGGCTTCTACTCTTTCGGTCAGTAAATGCTCCCACTCCGACCGGAATGCGACCATGACGCTAGTAACTGTCTTCCAGGCTTCATTGACACCTCTGTGACGGCCAACCCGATCACGTACACCTCCGTCGACAAGTGCGTATCCTCGTGTTGCACAAATAACCTCGGATCCAACTGACAGCGCCTCCATTGACAGCTCGCAGGGATTCTGGCAGGTGAAATCAACCAGCTGGTCGCTGAACGGCGAGACCAAGGAGCGCTCGGGTAACACTACCATCCTCGACACCGGTACTACGCTGCTCCTGGTCGCCGATGACGTTGTAGACGCGATCTACGGTACGTGTCGCGCTCGGCAGGGTTGACGCAGGGACCATTCACTGAAGCATCCTGTAGGAGCTATCGAAGGCGCCGTTTACGACGACCAGCAGGGTGGTTACAAGTTCCCGTCTAACGCCACCATTCCCGACATCTCCTTCGCCGTCGGCGATACGCTCTACAAGGCGAGTACGCTTCTACGACTTCTCGGCCCTCTCTATTCCCGCCACCTACGTGCCTTTTAACGCGTCCGCACAGGTGAACGCCAAGGACATCGCGTTCGGCGATGCGGGCGATGGCTACACGTTCGGTGGCATTCAGAGCCGTGGCGACCTCGACTTCGACATCTTCGGAGATGTCTTCCTGAAGTCCGTCTATGTCGTTTGTAAGTCCTACGCCGCCGCTATTTTCAACCCATCTACATCGCTCATCGACGTGCCGAAAAAGTCAACCAGGGCGAGAAGACCGTTGGGCTCGCCCAGCGCGAAGATGGAGCGCGCAACACAGAGTACGGTAGTTGTAAGCGTACGGTGGAGGACCCTTTTCGAACCTGCAACGTACTATTGGTAAATTGGACGGACTCGCTCTCACGCTATGGGCTCGGATTGACCTTTGTATACAAGTATACCAACTATGGACTGAATCACCTCGGCGGCTCTCAGGTATAAATTGTATATACATTGCAAAGTGTGGACTGCTTGAAGTCACCCATGTGGAAGTATCTTCTTCGGCTTCTCCGTGCAAATGAGGGTTCGCGCAAAACTCTTCAGTAGAGACAAGAAAAAGGAAAACGCATGTCCATCGCAGATATTGTAGCTCCCTGGCGGGGAGTCGAACCCCGCTTTCACGCGGTCCTGCCAAATACAATGACAGGCGCGTGTACTAACCGATATACTACCAGGGACCGTTGTGCCACTGATTGGGTACTTGATCTGGTTACTTAGGTGCAAGGGATACACTGCGGTACTCGCTTTCGTGGCGGGTCGAACCACAACCACCAATGATCATGCTCATCGAAACGGAAGACCGTAGAGGTAAGACTCTGGGCGCTGTGAAAATACAGTGACGGCCAAAAGTCGTGCCCCACCCCCCTACTTTCACAGGATTGTATACAAGCCCAGGCTAGTCACACATGTGTATATGATATCTAGATTGTATACTGGGTGTTATTGATTTGCTACTGATTATTGAGGGTGTAGCTCTTAATGGAGCGCGAGAAATACGGGCGCTTATTTTAGCGCCTGCCAGCGAAGCACAGCACTCAGCCATGACCCTCAACTTAATCCACTACCATTCAGTCACTGTACATATTGCACCTCAGAATCTTCATCCTCATCCTCTATTCTTTCTGCTCTTCACACATGGTTGCTCTATCCTGCCTTAAACGTGCCAAAATTCTCTTCCTT